GCAGACTCGCCCCTCCCATGGTACTTGCCTCTGGATAAAAGTCACTTCTCACTCAGCGGTTTCCGTTTGACAGCAATCGGACGTTTTATCACCAAAAATATGGTAAGATTTGTACATCTACCATCCGATTTTCTTGTTCAATTTTCTTTCCTATATTTACTGGCAAAATGTGTCTTGTTTGTATCTTTTAATTTGGATTTTCCGGTATGCTTCTTGTTCTGTGATAAACAAACAGTTTCTTAAGTTTTCCAGCTGCCATTGTAGGTCATGGCTCTTGAAAAAGTGGGACTTGCCCCAAAGGGAAGTCAAAGGGTTCAAGCTTTCCTGGAGAAAGCAGCAGAAGGACTTGTTGCTGGTGGACAGTAAGATTATTCCTTGCTTGTATTTGATTTAGTTTATATTGTTGCGAGTCTTTTATCAGAAGTTGCGTGTAACACGGCAGAAATTAGAAGTTGCATAATGTGAATGCATCCATCTGCATATGTTGTTAAAAGAGATTGCTTGCCATGCTTGAGTTGTTCGTGTCGTGATTGGTTTGACAGGAATAAGTTAATAATCTCTGGAAATCCATTAAGCTTCAAGTCTCTGAAGTGTATTAATTGTTTGTGTGGATCATCCTTGGTTCATTCAAATTTATTACTAACATCTTATAACATGATATTTCAGGAAAGAAATTTTCACCTCGATGTATTTCTTCTTAGCTCGGAAGCCCCATTTGGACGGTCAGTGACCTGAAAGTGTGAACTATATGCGCCGCGCAGCTCTATTTGTTCGTGATTTTGGAGATGCTGACCAGAAGATATTCTGTGACCAGTGAAGGCCATTGTAGGTGGCCTTTAACTATAACTTTGCTTTGTTTGGGACTGGTTTGTGTTTTATTTTGCTCTGGTAAAACAGTAAAATAAAGTTGTTTATTTGTATTGACTTCGATTTTCCATTTAAGCCATTTTTTGGCTATCGTTTATAAATTGTTTACAATTTCTCAAACCAGTTTTTATTCCCATGTTTCATAGAATTCATAGAGTGCTCACTTATTCATAACTTGTTTATATCCAGAGATGGCAATGGGACGGGGCCGGTTAACCTCCCCGCCCTGTTACCCGTTCAAGGCAAGGCGGGGCGGGGCGGGGAGTGGCCCTTATCCCGTTTACTATCTCGTTTAATTTTTTTTTCAAGTTTTTGATAATTCATTTTATTACTCCCATTCATTAGATTAAGACAATAATATATTTTTTAATATTTACTTATTTTTAAAAGTTAAATTATTCAAATATATTTGGTAAACTAAGACTTTTATTGTTTGTCATATTTTTTAGATAATTTTAGTTGTCATTTTCTATTAGAACTAATAAAATTTCGTGAAATTTTTTATGNTTTTCAAGTTTTTGATAATTCATTTTATTACTCCCATTCATTAGATTAAGACAATAATATATTTTTTAATATTTACTTATTATTAAAAGTTAAATTATTAAAATATATTTGATAAACTAAGGTTTTTATTGTTTCTCATATTTTTTATTTTTTTAGATAATTTTAGTTGCCATTTTCTATTAGAACTAATGAAATTTCGTGAAAATTTTCATTTAAAGTATTGAATTTTAAAGAACTTAAAAAATATATATTAAACGGGGTGGGGCACCCGTCCTCGCCCCGAACACCCGATTAAGCGGGTAATACCCACACTGTTCAACCCTGCGGGTATCGGGTTTATCAAGTTTTTTTGTCATCCCTATTTCTATCGATTTGTAATTGAAATCATTTATAAACAATTAATACGGAAATTCGATCGTTCATTTTAGCTTTTGCTAAGATTTGATATCATATGATGTCTTGAATAATCTTTAAAGACTGGTAATTAAACAGATAATTTATAGTCTTATAGGTTTAATCTATTTTCATATTTAAACAATGTGAAATTTGAATCATGTCGGTGTACAATGTTAGTTGACAATATGTCCCGTAACATATTGTCATTCGACAGTTTAAAAAATAATGTATCTTTTTAACCAGTAGTTTTTTGCCACCTAAAACATTGTCAACAATGTTTGTAAACCAACATTGTACGAATAGATTAATCCATACAATTTTATGCATACAAAGGACATGTTTGGCACACTGCCATGGCACATAGGATTAGGCGGGATAAGGTTATGGAGGAGAGAATGGTAGACGATTAGATTATGAGGGATATGATTAAGATGAGTTCTCCTAGTACTACTTCTGATTTTACATTGCAATAGGAAAAAAAAACTTAATTTTAAAAAATTACAACGTTATTAAAATATTTTTTATCTATAAGTAATTTTTCTTACTTGAACATAAATATACAAATAGTTATAAGTAAAACTTTGACTTATATGTTATAAATCAAAAATTACTTATAACTGGTTTGTATACTTATAAACATAATTCTAAAAGGCAGAAAAATCCGAGGACTAGGCGTCAGGGTGAAGAAGGCACCCCCACATATGGAAAAGGCCTCGAAAAACTGTCACCTATTTTGATAACCCATAATTCGGGCCTAGGCGACCAAAGGAGTTACTAATGCAAATCTTGACTCCAAAGGCGCGTTCCTTTTTTTTCCCCTTATTTTTTATTTTTAAGTTAAATAAAGTAATTAAATAAAAGGAGTTACTATTAATAATGTTATAATAATTAAGATAATATTCAAAGAAGGAAACATCATATTACGCTCATATTCATGTCCTTAAGACCTAAAGACAGCTCCAAAGAAAGGATGAAGGGGCAGACGAAGTCCCCCTTTAGATGAAACTTACTAATTGCTACGCACCCAGGCCTAAGGAAGCAGACTCGCTCGTCAGGAGAGGGTGCTAAGAGCTCTATAGTATAAGGTATGCAGTACTTCTCCCTAATATCCACAGGTCTACAACAGTTATGTTTGAAGGAATTTTGGCTGCCCCCAACCCGCGTGGTAGTCTAGGTGACCCTCCCTCATGGGTAAACGACTCTGACTTGCTCTAATGGCATGGACAAGGTCGGCGGTGTTGGTTATGGTAACCCCCATCTTTGAGGCTATTGTCCTAATATCTACGTCACCTCGTCAGATGATAAAGAAGCCATGAAATTCAAAATCAAAGAAAATATTGGTCGAAAAAACTTGCGAAATCAAACAACAAGACGCATGTCGCCAAAGTTCTTAAAAGTGGCCTAAAAAATTCGATAGGTTAGAGGAAATCAAATAGAACTCGAGAGTTTGTGGGGGTTTGATTTCTTTTTTGGCAAAGTAAGAAAATGATTTATTCAAGGTTTGGCTTTTTATAGGCAAAGATCCTCAACCGTTGGATGTCGATCTAACGCATCCTACCGTTCATTTAAGAGTTAATTTGAACCACCCATCGCATCAGGTGTTTCGCATTCAACGGTCCATATCACAGCGTCTAACTTACACACGCATTCACAACTCCCTCCCAAGAACACGCCTGTAGCATTCATCATTGCTCATTAAATGTGGCGATGGTTGCGCGTATGGAAAGTTGAACCGTTTCAGCTGTCTTTTCTTGAAAACGTACTAGACATGAAATCATTTGAGCGCAATATTTAAGGACGCTTCATTTTCGTAATGTTTCAAAAAACATACAACTGCCCCTTCCAAATTTCTTTTCCATAAGTGGACAGTTTCGGCCAAGAAGGACTCCATTTCAATTCCAACGTGGACAGTTTCAGCAAATGGCCTCAACTGCTCCTAATAATTTCTTCAAGATAGTTAGCCTAGGCTAAAAGTAGCTCATCTACCCCTTCCAAATTTCTTTTCATAAGTGGATAGCTTCAGCCCAGAAGGACCTCAGCTATCCCTTCCAAACCTTATCAAAAAATAGACAGATTCGAAGTAGACGGCTTCGGACGACAAGGATTTCAGCTCCATCTTTAAAATTTCAATAAACCACAAGGCAAACACCTTCCCTACTACAAAGCTTCAGACAACACCCACGATAAGTACTTATGAAAATCCTAAATTTGGTCATTTCACTTTCAAATTCTAATTCGAATATAAATATTTATATTTAGACTTGGGGAGCTATTGTGTTGTTGTAAAACTAATCACTGCAGGGAAATAACCACCCCCAAAAAAATCATTTGACAAGAAAAGTCCATGCATCATATGAATATCATACATAGACTTGGGGGACTATTGTTATGACTCGCCACCGAAACTCCAAACTAAGCTTATGTGGTAGTTCACACTGAGATATAAGTCAAGTTGACTAAAAGTCAATGAAGGGCCCTGATTGGTCAAAATGGTAGGGAAAAGGAGTGGCAAAGTCAAAGAAAAGCTTCCTAAGCTCTCCGTGCCGAAGTCCTCCATTTTGTAGCTCCCTTTAGCCGAAACTCTTGCTGGCTCTTAAAAGATCTACAGGTGATCTTTTGGAATGATTAATATGACGTTTGTAATAATGAATGTGTCAAGTCTATTAGTCTAGTTCGTAGGGTGACTGACCCATTGTCAATATTAGTGGTGTCAAGATGGGCGGATAGAGGCAAACAGGCCCATAATTCGGCCCATGAACCAAGTGGGCCGAATCACGGGCCACCCGGACCTGAAACAAGTCCGGGCCGATTTAAGGAAACCGCTGGCCCGTGTTTAAAAAAATAAAAAAAATTAAATAAAGCGCCTGCAGCAGCAGGCGCTGCAGTCAGTAGCAGGCGCGCTGCAGGCTGCAGAAAATGATCACAAGTCAAATCCTGTGACAGTTTGACTCTTATTTTTTTTTTCGAAAATTGCAATGTATAGTAACTGTAATTTTTTTTATTTTAAATTGTGGAATTGTGAAGTGAAAAAATAGCAAACAATCACATTCTACAAGTTTGAAATCTCTATTTTCTCATTCTCTCTTAATATTTTCAGTAAGTATTTTTAATATTTAGTATTTT